GAGTTCCCTTGCCTCCTCCACCAGCGCTCCAGTCTCCTCTTCGTCACCTCCACTGGCTGCGAACTATCGGCGGTGTATTGTTCGTCAACGCCCCGGAAGCCCAGAGCAACCGCCCTATCTGGTTCATACGTAACGTCGGGCCTCAGGCCTATGCATTCCAGTATGACGTGCTTCGCTGTCTCGTCTGCTCCCTGCGCGCTCATCCCACACTTCATTTCCACGTCCGTGTACTTCGCGTGGAGCACGCGGGTCCGCAACATGACGCTTCGGGCGTCCGCAGGCAGTGCACTGCCCTTGCTGTTGTCCATGAAAGGTATTCGCTTCATCTCCTGTTTCTCTCTGGCATAGAGGGCCAGCGCTGGTTTTCGGCGTGCTCCTTCCGCCCACCGCCGCGTCTCGCTCTCGATCACACTCGTGCGGATGCTCTGCTGTAGTTCCGGCTGTTCCGCGGCTGGACAGAAGACTGGGCTGCTGAGTTCATACCAATGTGTAAGCTGGCGCGTTCGTCGCACCCAACGGGTCGGGACGGACCGAAGATGCAAGCACATGAAAGTTTGTCTGGCCTAGCGCTCTTCGCTCATCCGGCTGAGGCGTCGCTCGAAGCCCAGCTCGGCTCGGGCCTCCCTGGCCTCAAAACCGGACCGGCCCATGCCTCCTTGGACGGCCTCGTTCGGTGCTGTTCGGCTTCCTCATAGTGCCGCCCTTCCCACCTCTCTCTGACGGACCTCGAGGTATTGGTAGGTACCTGATGACAGGCACAACACCGAGTTGCCGAATGTGAGTCCCAACACCACCACCACCTTCCAGAACGCTCGGGCGACCTCGTATCACTTATATCTCCAGAGGGCCTGGCCGTTGCTATGCCCTTGCTCCTCCTGCTCTTCGCCTTGACCTTCATCTCGTGCTCTAGGGGGTAGTGGTGCCCCGCCTGCAGGTATATATTCAGATATTTGTAGCGGCCCACCCACGGTACAGGGTTGTCCTGAATGGACAGGTTGGCGCTTCCGTTTTCCTCAGTTGGCCCAAAGGCCATCAGCCCAGATTTGTGCGAACTGAAGCTGAGCCCCAGGGCCTCTCCCATTGCACCACACTCGTTTATGAGCCCCTGTAGGCCCCGCAGTGAGTCCGCCATCAGTACCATATCGTCGGCGTGGATGAGTCTCGGGAGTTTCCCTCCCTTCCTTTCCCCACCTTCCAAATGTTCCAGTGAGAAGTCCTCCCCACTCTTCTGCAGCCGCCTTATGATTCCTGCTATGTACAGCATAAACAGCAGAGGCGACAGCGTTCACCCTGTCTCAAGCCTTCGGAGCAGGTCACTGGATGTGTTGTCTCCTGCTGCCACTGTGCTACCACTGCCGTCCCTCTGTACACTACTCTAGAGAGGTCTATCCACTCACCGCTGAGTTCCCGCTCTGCCAGCTGCGTCAACAGTTTTCGATGTTCGACCGTCTCGTAAACCTTGCTGATATCGAGAAGCCAGAGGTAAAGGGGGCGGTTGTCCTTCTGGGCGATCTCGATGGCCTGAGTCAGCACCAATAGATTGTCCTCTAGGCGTCTTTCCCATCGAAAGCCATCCTGCAACTCGCCTAGGATCGCCTCTGTCTCTGCCCATGCCTGCAGTCTTTTCCGCACCACCTGCATGAACAGTCGTTACAGCACCGGTGTGATTGCGATAGGACGGTAGGTGCCGAACGAGGGCTTGGATCCTCGGCCCTTCTATATGAGTCGGAGTCTTGATATTCGCCATTCGGCTGGAATTTGTCCCCTTCTCATGATCTGGCTCAGGGCTCGCTGCAGGAGTCCTGTTGTCTCCGGCCCCAGCTCCTTCAGCAGCCTGTTTGGTAGATTGTCTAGGCCTGTTGCTGTTGTCGTTCCCATCCTCCCTATCGCTTTCTTCAGGTCTCCCCTTGTGATGTTGTCCATTCTCGGCTGTATCTTCCGCTCCACCTGTCCTTCCGGCCCTCCATTCGCGATCACTGCGTCCGTGCTGCTCCCGCAAACATCGATCTGACCTTCTCTTCGATGTATCGGATGGTCGCCCTCGGCCCCACCTGCCTCGCCGTGGTGTCGGCTTTGAGCATTGGATCCTCCTTCGGTTTTCCCGTCTGGTCCCGAACATGTCGCCAGAACTTGCCAGGTGCTTCCCTTTGCGCCTCTTTTATGTCCTCCAGGAATCTTTTAACCGCCTTGGCCATTTTGGTCTGGATAAGGGTTGTCACCTTTACTTTCCTGTCCTGGTACTCCTTCCATTCCATAGAATTCTTCCTCAAAGGAGTTCCCCCTCCGCCCTCCTCCTGATCTCTCCTTAGAGAGTTCTGCACGCCAATTGTCTTCTCGTTATTGCCTTCCTCACCTCAATGTCCCACGATCGCTTTCTTCTCCACCCTTTGTGACCTGTGGGTCTCTCCACTTTTTCCTGGTGGTGAATCCACCATTGGATGAGGTCGTCATATGTCTCCAGCCGCTTGTTTTCAGCCTATGCTTCTAGTTTCTCCGCAATCATTTGGGCTTCCCTTTGTGCAACATTGCAGAGCCCCAATGATTTGCTCTGTTTGGTTCCTGCTGAGTTTCCTCCAAATGCAATCAGTAACTTGTTGTGGTCACTTCCAAGGCTCCTGTCGCCGTCCTCAACTATCTCCACGTACCTTAATTTCTCCTAAACGTCTGGGGACATTAGGCACTAGTCGATAGTGAAACTCATCTCCCTGGGAGTCCACGTTGTCGTCCCTGTGCATTTTTTCTGCGTGTTGACTATTATCATGTCCAGATGTTCTACCATGTCCAGCAGCAGTTTACCATTGTAGTTTGTTCTCCCATCGAACTCCTCAAGGTGCGCATTAAAATCACCCATTATGGTGGTGGGACTTGCAGTTTGTGGTAATCTCTCTCAATACACTTGACCAGTTCACTGTTCTTTTCCCCACTACCTGCCCCGGTCCACAAACAGACCACTAAAACTGCCGCCTCTTGCCCCGCTATTCTCCCTGTCATCCACAGGTGTTCTTGGCACTCTGGACCCTGCTTGTGCCATCCTGGCCCACTGAAAAATCCCGCCCCACCCCCTCTTTTCCCTTTGCCGTCTCTGTTACTTCCTTCCCGGACCCACCCTTCACACTCTGGGGGCCTTTCTTAATCTCTAAGATGTGTCTCTTTCACTTCGAAGACGCCAATGCTGTCCGCTTGAAGAATCTGGAAAGCTTCTTCCCATTCTCTCGCTTTTCTTGCTCCCTGTATGTATAGAAAAGACATCCTTACTTCTCTCCGCCTTTTCTTTCCTCTCCTATTTCGTCCTTTTGCTTTCGGACCCGTTGCCCCCCCCCCCCCCCCCCCCCCCTGTGTTCCCTTCTTTCACTATTTGTTGGTGGGGGCCCCCCTGTCCCCCTCTCGTCCTCCGTCGTTCGTTTCTCCTCACACCCGGCTTCTGCCAGCGGCCGATACTTCGCATAGGCTGCTCGTTGCGCCTACTCTTTACTGGCTGCTCTAATAATACCATAGGACGTCAACGCTCCGTGGTCTTTTTCCCTCGCTGGCATTTGGAGGTGTCTTTGGGCGGATCTGCTGCCATAAAAAAGGGGCTATCATCCCTGTGATCTTCGTAGTCACTCGCTGCACTCCCTCATTTGAGTACAGAGAGGCCTCGTTAGTGATGCACCTGGGATTTAGTACCAGATCCATGTCTACGAAACGCGCCTTGATCCTTATGCACATCGTCCGTATCCGTACATTAGCCTTGGCTGCATCTGCTTGCATCTCCTTACACCGGCTAGACACCTCCGGTATAGAACAGATGATAAGCTCGGCACCCCCTTCCTTTCCATGTTTCTTCCAACTTGGCCGTCACGTTCTCCACTGTGCCCTGCAAGGACCTCGTTGAGGCAAAAGTGGAGCACGTATTTCCTAGGGAGTTTTCGGGCCTTCCCCTCATATGAACGGATGGCCTCATGCGCCTTGTCCATGGTCACTCTCCTTTGATAGAGAAACTCAACACTGTCCTCCACCCGTACTTCCTGGACCAGCGCCGCCGCAAATCTTCCTACATTCCCATCTCCTGCCGCAATGATTTCTCTCTTGGCCCCCTTTGGGGATCTCAATGGTGTCGACCCTGCCCTTCTCTGTTCCGTGGGCTGGGTAGGGACTTGGCCCGGTCTTGGTTCTGTGGGGTGGACTGGGGCTCCGGCTGGTCTCTGCTCTCTGTTACTCGACTCCGCCGAGTGCTCTTGTCTATCTTCTGCCTTCCTTTTCCTGTCACTTTCCTTCCAGCTGCCGGCAAGCTCGGCCCCGTCTCTCCCCTGTCACCCTGGTGATAGCGCGTTGTTCTCCTGGCGCCCTGGTGATATCATGTCGTCCTGGGCTTGTTCTTGGCCGGCTGCCGTTGGCACTACGCTTTCTCCCTTCGCCTCGGGCGCCGTGTCCTCCTCCTCATCTTCCTCAATCCCTGTTGGTTTTTTTATGCTGCATTTCCATCATCCTCTCCAATATCGTTTACCTCGCTGCCTCAACCTGCTTCTCGTTCTCGAGACTCGCTATCCGCTGCGCGAGAAGGCCAATCACAATCCTGTCCACTTCCGATTGCCTCACTAATCCAGCTAGCAGTGCATGTACCTCCTCAAACCGCTCCTGTTGTCCTTGGACCATGATTATCCGTCTCTCTATGTCCATGCTTGTCACTTCCTCAGTTTCTGTTTCCTTTCATCTTCTACCCTGACTGCTTTCTCCCCGTTCTGGCCTGTTACTTTGCTGTCCTCGTGTACCACTTTCGGGGTTCCGTTTCTGACCTGGAAGTTTCCTTGATCTATCGGAGGAGGCATCAATTCCTTTTGCCTGACGGGGCCTGTCTCCTGTATCCTCCCTTCCCCTTCTTGCGTCATTTGGGCTTTCTCGGAGACCTCCCTTGCTTCTTCGCCTCACCTCGCATTGCCTGTTGTATGTTGGTGAGCTCTGCAACTTGTTCTTCCAGCTTCTCCCTTTTAGCTCGTTCTGCTGCCCTAAATGTTTTCTCCTCTTCAAAAAGCGTTTTGAGACACTCTCGTTCTCTTCAATCTTCTTTTGCCTTTATCAGGGCATTCTCTAAAATCTCATAAAGTACCTCAATTTTAATGCACAGCGCGCATCTGTAACGGTTTGTCTCTGCCTCCTTGAGTGCTTCAAATGGCGTCGCCTCTAGATCTACCCACCGGTCGCATCCCTCGCACTTTACCAACCCCTCCACCGTCATTCTCGATCGTATTTGCTTGTTTAGTTGTCTCCTTCTTATTCGGTTTGCTGGCCATGTTGTCTGTCCTTCCTCGAGGCGTGCCTTCGGGTGTTTTTCTCGTTCTTGTATTTTTTCTGCCTCGCTTATCTCGATCGGAGTCACTTCTCGCTCCATCCAACGGTCGCATCCCGCTTATTTCCTCCCTACCAAAAAGCACTGACTAGCCCCTCAACGTCGCCGTGAGGCAATTAGACTCTTATGCCTTTTCAAAAGTACACACGCATTAAAAGCACCTCTGTAACTCGATACAATTACTTATACAGCGATACAAATTTGAAAATCACACATTGCGCGCCAGTGTTTCTGCATCTGTCTCCGAACTCTTGCCTCGGGCCTCGAGATGCGCTGGCCGCTGGAGCGGGGAAGTCAGTGGACGGTGAGAACGCGCTAAAAACACGATCCCGCGAACTGTTTCGCTTCTGGGAGTACGTCACAGCGCGAGATTCGTGCCACGTTCGTGCGCGCGCAGCTTTCTTTTCTTTTTCGTGGAAACTAGTTGTTTTTGCAATATGGTCAAGCACGGATTTTTGTCGTCATGACACCACCTGCTGTGCCTATCTGTGCCAAGTGGGAAACAATTACTGCCGAAAGCCGGGATACCAATGGTTTCGAGTTCCAATGGACGTGCGCTACGCTCTTCTAGTCTTCTCCTCTTGCTTAAGTTTCTCATTTAAATGTTCGCAACAGAAGCTAACTGTCGCAGTGGTAGTGAGTATTAATTGTTTGATTTTGGCAATAGCTGCGATGGTTTCACATTACAAAACCCAATCCTATCATTGTTTCGGATTCCCCTTGTTCGCTTGTCGCGAGAAATATGCTGTTTTCAAGTAACTGGCAACTTCTTGTAATATCAAGATCGACCACATGCTCGCTTCAAAAGATGGTAAACTTCTTGCGGTCAGCTGTTTATTTGGAATAGGTGTCAGCGATGCACGCGTCTGTTCGCGAGAAGTGAAAGTGAGCCTAAATATTTTTTTATCTACTGAGCATGTGTGATGGAGCAATCCGTGCTGGTTTCCCGTTTTGTCTAGCAGTGACGCACTCCTAAATTCAAGTCATGATATTAAAAATTAATACAGGTTCTCGATGAAGACTTAATACAAGAGAGCTGAGCTTCTGTTTTTGTTAACCTCATTGCTTAGCTTCCTTTAGTGGCAAGGCACCGTCGTCGGTCTTTACTTATGCTTACTTATATAATCAAATTTGAAATGATCGTCAATTGAGCGTGGAGGTATTTGACTCAAGGAGAAGAGAAACAGAGAAGATACAAGTATTTTGTGTCGCAGTTTTGAATTTGAAGTACCATTTTTTGAAAGGATGTACAGAATAGGCTTGCTGTTGTCATATGACTATGTCAGGCACGTAAAGGCCAATCAAGCAAGTAATTCAACTTTTTTTTCTTGGCCCCACGCCTGTGGCTGGACTGCGCAAGGCCTGTGAGCATGCGCCAAGAAGCTCGAAAAGGATCGCAAACCTACAGATATTTTATGTAAATTTGGCGAAGTGTTTCTGCAAGGACGTTTTTCATCACCTTCGTTGCACGAACCCTTAACGTTTTATCATGTTTTGTTGTTAATTTCTTTGATTCTTCTGCGCAAATAGTGAGGAATGTCGTGTGCATTTACTACGGCCTGTCGAATAAAAAATGAACACAGAAGAACAAACATTGCATATTTTTTGTGTATGTGTTACTTTTGTTGCTTTGCTAGGTCTCTGCTGCTTTGCGGCTCGTCTCGCGTTTCAATGCTGTCATGTGTGCGTTTCAACGCACATTAACCAGCATTAAAGCCCGAAAACCAGCCGCAAAGCAGCATAAGGCTAGCAAAACAACAGGCAAACCGGGGGAAAAAGAAAGCTGCAATATATATTTTAAATCGATGTGGTGCAAGCTACCGCCCATCCATCCTAGCACAATGGCTCTGCCGTGCGGTTTCGGGTTTAGTTTTGCAGTGCCCCCATGTTGATTTTCGTACAGCCTCCGGATGCGAGGGGATTCAATGGGTCCTCCGGACTTCCAGAGTTTACCAGATCGTGTTCCATGGGTGGTATAGGAAGTTTTCCTCCTCTGGTTGGCTAACCGGATGAGCGACCGCCGTGCTTGCATACCGTACGGCGGGATAGCGCTACCGACGTCATTAGATGCCGGCTGGAAGCAGACGACGATACGCCACCTGCTTTCACCGCTATGATTTATTAAATACTGCGAAGTTTTAGAATAACGTATGCAATTTTACCGTACGCTAGCGCTAAATTTATCACTTGTATTAGCGCACGCGACGCAAGAGAGTTTTAGAATAGCGTTTCTCCGTCGCGACGCAAAAGCCCAAGCACTTCGGGCTTACAACGCCACCAGGATAGTCACAATTTTTATTTCACAGAAGAAATGCTGTAACTTGAGAAAGAAACAGTTTTTTTTTTGCGGTGGTCAAAAGAACTAGATTGGTTTAAACATGAGAATGCGACGCGAGCGGACGACCGGTCGTGTCCGTCTGCATCACTTCAGCAAAAGAGGTATCGTGTACTGACCTTCGCAGATCGTACCTTCGTCGAGAAATGTTCGAGTGTCGCAAGTATCAAGTTACCGGGGATCGTTGCCAAACCGAGTACAACGTCGTCCCGTATTGAAAATCGCCGTCGCAAGGATGCCGCCGACATCGCACTCACGACGCCGCCAAAGCAGCTGCCGACATAATCCTGGAAGCCGCGATTTTTTTTAACTCTGCTCGTTTTGGCTTTAGCCAACTTCTCATCACGAATCCTTCTTGGAGACGAGCAAAGACTCTTCGCGTACGCACGCTATTTCCGAGAAATAGCGCACGCTAAAATTGCGCACGCAAAGCGCAAAACCTGGTTTGCGTTCGGAGCATGCGCAGTGGCGACGACGCTATTCTTTGCGTGCGCAAGGCTTTAGTGTGCGCTATTGTATAACTCCCTACTTTCAGCAGATATGATGTGTTACCGCTCGATTATAAATGGGATTGTGGTACACGAACCACTTCCGTCCCACAGTAAGCTGAGCAAGCACTGTCACATAAGACAACAATTTTGTTCTTTCATAAATTTGGCGTACCTTGAGCCAAGCAGCACGGAATTCGGCCAAGCAATGGCCAATGGCAGGCGATGATCGTTTGGCTAATAGCCAAAAAATATCCATTCATTGGCCAATGTGTGACCGATGACTGATGGTCAGTGGCCATTGGCCAATGGCCAAAGAAACGCCAGTCATTAGCCAATGGCTTGCCACTGTCTGGCCGCAGGGCGAAGGGCCATTTCCAGCCATTGGCTAATGATTGGCCAATGATTGGCCAAATCTCTGCTGCTTGGGGAGTTAACCGCTTATATTTCCCTACGTAAAAGCGACTATTAAAGTGTGTGCTTGAGCGAAAAGTGGCCACTTTCCAAGAAGAGTGTCCAGCCCTTAATTTCACTTTATAGTAGCTTCCTATTCGCTGGAACGATTATTGACGCCTTGCATGGGAGAAAGAGTGGTGTCAATCCTTGGTCCGGTGGCACCGATCACATGAGGATTACTCGTATGACCCTTCGTCGCATTATCTTCATTTTCAGAAAAAAATGCATGTTGTGACATGTGCAGTTTATTTACTCTGTTAAAATAGTTTTGTTGCTTTTGCAGTTGTCGAATGCGGGACTGATTTAGTAAATGCATCGAGATTTAAAGACAATGAGGAGCTTGCCAAAGTTTAGAGTTTCCACTTTTATCCCCTTTTATTACAACACTTCACGAAACAACCTTTTTGCTGCAAAAAATGACCTTTCTTACAGTCGTGGTTAATATAGTGCGAATGGCAGTTTGAGAAACTGCGGGGTTTTCTATAGTACTTGCATAACTTTATGCAAGGTGACGAACCTGAATCACCTGCTCCAAAAGCTCAAATATGGTGGCACGCTACTACAGCCATGATGGTGCACTCACGTATCTTTTTGCTGCAGATTAAACTTTTGGGCATCGCCAGCAATGACGGGGCCCATGTACTAGACGGACCACGGGACGGCAATAAAGCGATCGTTCTCGAGCAAATCACGGGAAAACAGCGGCTCCCGGTACCCGTCCTGGTGGATTTCAATTTAGGAGCATTAGCAGCCTGCCAACACTGTTCATCAGCTACGATGCTTCTACAAGAGCCGCTATCGCACGTCGGTCATTCGGCGCACGCTACCACAGCCGTGATGGAGTACTCACGCATATTTTTGCTGCAGGTTGGTTTTTTGAAAACTTCAGCTCGCAGTCGCCCAAGCAACTATTGTCGGCTAGTGATATCGTGATCCAGTGTTTGGTTGTTGCGTTTTCGCCGCGTGTGCTATTGGTTTCGGGACGTCATGTCCGCAAGTGTGCGGTGTGTTCTTTTTAGTTCAATCGGGTGATGTAGAATCAAACCCCGGATTTGGCAATGACACTGTTGTACCAGTGCCCATAGCGGACCTTCTGGCAAATGCTTTTGCTACCGTTCAAAGGATAGAGCATGGACAGAACGCCATACTTTTCGAAATAAAGGAGCTCTA